GAAGTACTGGGAGGGGTGAATACTTAGAACAGCTGGAGGTCACCCAGGTCAGACATCTGTTCTAGTAAATGTCAACCTCACACAAACAATATCCATCTCATTTCTCTCTTACCTCCATCTCTACTCTTTTTTGAATTTACACACTAAGCCTTTATGAATCCTCTTCTCTCCATGTCCCTACACCCATCCTCAGGCCCCCACCCTCAGTTCAGGCCATCATCATTCCCAGTCTGGATCCCTGCCATGGCTTCCCAGAGAGAGGAATCTTACTCAAACTCTGTCCTGGTCAAACACTTCAAAAGTCTGACACTCCTTGCAAGTCTCACACAGTGTAAGTCCCCTGCTTCACTTCTATCAGCCCACCCTGTCCCTCCAATACACATTTAGAAAAAGGCCTGGTGTGTGGTGAGCCCGGACTTCTTATTATGTGTGCTCCCAATATCCTCTCTGCTTGTCCTTGCATTTGCTGCGACCATGGCTGATTCGACTACTCTCCACTAGACCAAGCAGCAAATGTTGCATTCATGCAGAATCTTTCTGGCCTCTGGACTCTCTCATGTTCTTTGAAAATAAACGGATCTGGGGGGGTGGGATGGGGGTCTGAAAACTCATGGGAAAGGTTTACCGTTTAATAATTAAGCTCTGAGGCAGAGGGTCCAGAATAGCAGCTTGGATCTCAGCCTGTCTCCTAGCTGCCCATGAAGTCACATTCTAGCTGACAACCTTGGGTCAGCACATACTGCATGCCAGGGAGAAAGTTCCTGAGAGGAGTCAGTGCGGGCTTCGGGGCTTCGGGAGGTGGCATTTTGCCTCAGGATGCCCATCCTGACACTGCACGGTGTGGTGATATTGTGTCCCCCAATATATTGTGCACCCTAATAAACGTATCTAAGGTCAGAAAACAGAACTAGATAGACATAGATGCTAGAAAATGGTGGTACACACACCTTTAATCCTAACATTCCGGAGGGATATCCATCCAGCTCTCTGTGAGTTCAAAGCCACACTGGAAACATCCAAGCATGATGACACTGGCCTTTAGTCCCATGAAGTGATGGCAGGAAGCAGAAAGGTATATAAGGCATGAGGACTTATATACCTTTTAGCTTTTGAGCAGCAGTTCAGCTGAGATCCATTCAGATGAGGAGTCTGAGGAAACAAGATCAGCTGAGGAATTAGGAAGGTGAGATTGGATGTGGCTCGTTCTGTTTTTGTGACTATTCAGCATTCATCTTAATACCTGGCTCCAGGTTTGTTTTTATTAATAATGCCTTCTAACAATTCGAGTTACAGCTCGGTCCATCCCACTTTCGCGGTGGCAGTTCAGGGTCCCTGTAAGATCTGAAATCCCACCCCGAACTTCTCTCTTCACTCTCTTCACAACTGTCCCTCACCTGGAACCCTCTGGGACCAGGGACCACAGTCTCCATTGCCGGCCATCTCTTACATTTTCTTAGCTACATCCAGCTTCCCGGGCGCTTCTGGATTTAGGATAAAAGAGCAGCCGCTGTCCCTCGGCCACCATAGAGCGCCGCCCCACTTGCTGCTTCCTCATCCACTATGGGGTCTGTCCAGAGAGGTTTCTCACATGCTGCTTTGCGCCCTCCCGCTACACTGCCACCTAGCGGCCCCTGTATGAAATGCTCCTAGGCCCTGCTAATATTTAAAACAAACCAAAAAAAAAAAAAAAAAAAAAACTTCTTTCTGGTGGGTTTCTCAAAAAGACAGTGAAGTAACGCACTTTCTTTATCTCAAGGCCAAAAAGAAAAAAAAACAGCAATGATTAAATTCAGTAGTTTTGAATAAAGAGCATTGGAAACCAAAATCAACATGCCAAGAAAAAAGACTCTTACTTCACTAAATCTATTACCGAAAATTCTAAGGTTACACTTTTAATGACAAATTTAGTTAAAGCATATTCAAACTCAGGAAGTCAGCCAAATTACCCACCAGTTTCTCAAAAGACATAACTGCCCCCACCCAAATCAAACAAAAGGTCAGTCCTTCATGAATGATTTATAGACAGGCACTTAAAGAAATGAAGAGCCTCTGTGATGTTACAACCAAAGACACATTCTACAGCCAAACCCCTGGCAGGGCACACAAACAGCCAACTCTGAGGGCTTCGCTCACCTTTGGAGCCACACAGGGCCATGGTGAGGGCGCTGTTGCTCTGGTCCAGCTCTGAGAGGCAGGAACTGCCAGGGAGGTTCAGGATGGCTGACTGCTCCTTTAGGATCATGGCCTGGGGAAGGGACAGAGGAGGGGGGAATATGTAGTCTGTGAGGAGTCAGGCTCTGGCTCTGCAGATCATAATCCTTCAATCCTACATTTATAGAAAATTCCAGAACATTTCATCAGGATGTCAGATTTCCAATCAATGAAGTTTCCTGAGCTAAGACAATCAAAAAGCCCAAGCTGCACAAAGGCCTTTCTTCTCTTGTTCTAAGTTCTGAGACTGCAACTCTATCCATTAGTCTCTTTTCTGCTCTCTCTTCAGGCTGACTCTAAGTTGGGGCACAGTCCTCTGAACCACCTTTCCCCTAACGCAAGCAGTACCTAGGCACCCCTGAAGTATACACACTGGTGGTGGGCTGAGAATGGCATGAACTAGGTTACCAGCCCAGTCTTCGGCCCTGTTTTTGAGGCTCTCAGTAGGGACCTAGGGGTTGCAGCATCTTAAGCATTCTGTGTTGAATGTAGGTGGTGGCACAGGGCACCCTGGGGGTGTCCAGAGCTGTCATCCATATTGACGAGCAGAGTGGGAAGGAGAAGTTCAAGCTTCTGGTAGAAGGTGACAACCTTTGGGCAGTCATGGCCACCAATAGTGTGAAAGGCACTCAGATGACTTCCAATAAC